ACTACTACTACTACTACTACTATTGCTGCTGCTGCTGCTGCTGCTGCTACTACTACTACTTCTACTACTACTACTACTACTTCTACTACTACTACCACCACCACCACCACCACCACTACTACTACTACTAGTACTACTACTACTACTACTACTACTACTACTACGACGGCTACTACTACTACTACTACTACTACTACTACTACTAACACTCATACTAGTAACAGCAAGCTTATAGTCATGATTGTGTTTTGGCGTATACTGTACAAGAAACATGCGAGGACTGTAAGGGGGCATTGCAGAAATAATCAAAATACTCAATCAGAGCCCTACATCATACACACACTTGGGCCCTGGAACAGCAGTATCAGCAATCTCCCTTAGAGCCACCTGTGAGAATGAGAATCCCCTGAGCTTTACACCCTAGTCCGAACATACATGCCTTCAGCCTGAAGGTCTCTAAGAGGCTGAAGCAGAAGCTGGCAGTTACTACAGCGGCCTGAATCTTTCGTAGGATGTGTTGCTCCTATAACCTACTCCAAAACCCTTTTCGAGCTACTAAGGCCCCTACGTAAAGTGCCGACAGTTTCGGGTGTCAGGTTGTCGCTGTGCAGGTGTTCGAAGCATCCTCATAGGCTACGCGCGAGGACTGAAAGCGGTCCCGCCCAGAGGTTAGGGTGTAGAGCGTAGCGTTTAGGGATGTTTGGGGTATAGAGTACAAAACGAAACAGTTTCAACCCTAAACCCTCTTTTGGGCGAAGTCGTTCGGATCTACCGAGCACCTGGGGATCGTTCCAAAGCCGAAACGGCATGTCAATGCTAATTGAAGCTGCTGGCTTAACTGGCGCCTCAACAAGTAGTGGAAGCATTTCGTTGTTGTGCCCTCAAGGTATTCGGTTTCGAGTTTCTGGATTAGAATTCGGGCTGCAAATCATTAGCCCCTTAAGCACTCCCAAACCCTGACCCGAAACACTCCCAAGACGCTAAAACACAGAAGCGACCTTATCGCTGCAAACTGTTCTTAAAGAACCGATTCAGCAAGAGTAACCCTCGACCTCAAACCCTAGACTTAAACCCACAACCCTAAACGCTAAACCGTAAACCCTAAGCCCTAAGCCCTAAGCCCTAAGCCCTAAGCCCCAAATCCTAGAACTCAACCAGATTGTGCTTTACTTAGCCGTCGCAGCGAGAGCCACAGCTGCACTGGTCTCGACTGAAAGTCCTATTCATCACAGAAGAAAAAAGATTAGCGATACTCGTAGCAGCAAGAACAGGAGTCATCATGATTATAAACAAGTGTAATAGTGATGGTAGCAATAGGACGACACTAATCGTCTTGGCAATTGTGAGTGCAGGTATAGGTAGGGTTCAAGAGATAATTCCCATTGCTGTCACCGCTATAGTACTGTTTACGGGGTTTAAGAGTTTAGGGCTACCGTGGTGGTAAACGTTTGGGGTGGAGCAATCGGTTGCAGTTTCGGTGTAGTGATGTGTGTAGGGTACATTTCGGTGGTATGTCTGATCTTTACCCATATCCGTGCACAAGACCCCGTTGCCTTAGAGCCTAAACCCATAACCATTTCGGAATACGGAAGAACGTTTTGGTCAAACCGCCTTGTGTTGGCAGGGACCACTGGGAACTAAGATTATTAGTATGAGCACTAGCAGTAGCTTTAGCACTACTCGTGACAAGGACATCCTGACAACGCTTCAGTAACTGCATGTATTCTGAACAAGTATCATCTGCGGCTTTGTTCTAGGCTACCGTCTGGCCTTAGGCCATCCCCTGAACAAGTACGTGCTGAACAAGCAAAATTAGTAACACGCAAACCATCAAACACACGAGTTAACAGCCGAATGACTATATAGTGGTACCGGCAAATAAACGAAAACTCATAATTCAGCAGATAAACAGGTGAACGACACGTGAACGAACACACGAAAACACAAATAGGGGAGTTGTGAGGATATAGTGTACAATAGTGTGTGTGTGTGTGTATATATATATATATATATCCTCCCAGGAACCCAGACCCTCAAAGCGCCAACCCTATGTCCCTCAGGCTTTGTAAGGACCTCTAACTCTAAACCCTTGAACCTCGCAACCCTCAACGCACCCTTCGAAACCGAGATCCCTAACCTCCTAAACCCTCAAATCCTTCAACCCCTGCGTCTCCAAGCCCTACCTTAAGAACCCAAAACCCACTTTTTTGTAGGTTCTTATTATAAACCCTAATATGGGATTTATAGGGACCCTACAAAAAAGTAGGTTTGGGGTTCTTAAGGTAGATGAGGGGATTATAAGGGCTTAGGGCCTAGACCCGCAACCCCAAAAGCCCGGAACTAAGGGCCCTGGAAAGACCTTACAAGCTCCTACAAGGCCCTCACAAAGCCTCACAGCAGCCGACACAACCCTAAACTCAACCCTCAACACTAAAACCACTAAACACTAAAACCCTAAACCCTAAACCCTAAACAGTAAAACCACTAAACACTAAAACCCAAAGCCCTGAACACTAACACCCCAAACCCTAAACACTAAAATCCCAAACCAAAAGCACTAAAACCCCAAACACCAAAAAACACAAACCCTAAACACTAAAACCCTAAACACTATATCCCCAAACCCTAAACACTAACACCCTAAACCCTAAATCCTAAACCCTTAAACCCCAAACCGAGAAGCGACCCACAAACGAGCCATGTTCCGAGGAAGTCTTTGGAAGCTCCATAGGTCCGGGTCATGTGTTGGGGTTCCATAAGAGTTCCTGCAAGGGTTACTGGTTTAGAGTTGAGGGTTTAGGGTTTAGGGTTACTATGAAGGAACCATAAGCATAGCTAGAAGGGTTACTGTACGGGGTACCCGGTTTAGGGATGCGTTAAGGGTTTCTTGGTATTTGGGCTTAGGGTTTTATAGCAGATGGGTCTATTACTATGGTTTTGGGAGAAGAGGCTGGGGGCTTGGAGCGTGGGTAGAGGGTTTGCGGGAGCGTTCAGGTGCTCATGCCGTCGTCTTCTAGCCATTTCCTAGGGCATGTAACCCTCAGCCCTAAACTGTGTATGCTCCTATATAGCATACGTAGCTGTTGAGTGGAGTCCCCATAAGCTTTGTCAGGTTTGTTGGGTTGACGCCCCAACAAACAGAAACCGCAAAGATTAAAGAGCTCTAAAGGCCCCAAAGCCATCTAAAGACCTAGCATCTTAAAGGATTTAGGGTTTAGGGTTTAGGGTTTAGGGTTTAGGGCCCTTACCCCCACAGTTCCCTTGTAGAACGCTGAGAGGGAACCCGATTTATAGGCATGGTTTGGGATCGGGCTTCGTGGCCCCACGGGTTAGAGTGGTAGCGTGGAGGTGAGAGTCTCGGGGCAACTCCGGTAGGGCTCATTGGGGTTTAGGGTTTAGGGTTTAGGGTTTAGGGTTTAGGGTTTAGGGGTTTAGGGTCCTGATCTTTAAGCCCGCTGATTTGATAATCCTGAGATGTGGATCTTGAGCGCCCCAGAGCATGCCGTGTCGGGAGGAGCGGTGCTGTGCACGATTTCCTCAGATCTCGCGTCAAGGTTCCGGGGCAGAAATAATTCGGGGTTTCCTGTGTGGCTTGAGAGTTTAGGCTAGTACAGAAGCTTACTATTCAGTGGTACCTCATGGATGCCACTACTATACTCCACAACTCTATTCTAATGGATCCAGATGAAGGAGACACAGGCTGTTCTTTGTATACTTCACATTTATCGAGGTCTAGGTTGTTGATAGTATTGATAAATAAGTCAACATGTATTAAAAGCTGATGAAGACAGATTTTTTATGATAACACCAGTAGCAGCAATAATATGATAGTAGGAAAGTATTTACTGGGAGCAGTAGCCTTGGTCGTCAAAGCGATAGTACGAGTAATAGTAATGGTAGAGGTAATAGTTGTAGCATTAGTAGTTTTAATAGGAGTAGTAATAGTATTAGCACTAGCGCTAAGAATAGTCATAGTGATACTCATAGTCAGGGCAAGAGTAAAAGTTAGAGTAAAAGTAGTAATGATAGCACTAATACCAGGAGTAGTACTAGTACGAACATTATTGCTAGTGATGGTAACAGTAGTGGTAATCGGAATAGTAGTACTAATCAAAACATAGTCATAGCTTCATCATGATTGTTTACACACAGCCTTCTACCCCAAGCCAAGCTCCCGAAAACTTTAACAGTCCAAAGTCCTATAACCCTTTTGATCCTCCTTAGGCGTTCGCGGCCTTTGGGAAAGCACGGGAGATGCCTTCCCTCTCTTCAGTCCAACCGACTGAAGAACGCAGTACTGATAGTCCGACTTCCTCGGTCCCTTGGTGGCTTTGGAGTGGAGGGGCGGTACTTCCGGCTTAGCCTTGCAGTCGAGCTTGCGGGTTTCAGAATTTTCGGTCGTCGCAATGGTTCTGAACAGCTCGAAAAGTAGGCCGGGGTAGACCGATGTGGGGCTGATGTGGGGCTGAGGCTTAAGGGGAGGCTTTTGGGCTTGGGAGGTTCAGGGACTGGTTTGCCATCGAGTGCTAGTCATGTTCCTTTTTAGAGTGAGCCTTCGTGGAGTGAACCTCCGAGTTCCCCCTTGTAGAACTCATGAAGCAGCGCTTTGTCAACAAGTGTGGTGCAAGTCAAGCTTGCAAGTCTACAGGTCAGCCTAGGTCGGTAATACAGAGGCAGGAGCATGTAGAAAGCAGTTCCGCATTCAGAAACTCTAGTCCACTAGTGAATCACCCTCAAGATCTGCATTTTGGGGTTTGCTTGAGTTTTGTTGTGAAACATATTCTAATATTCATCTGAAAGCAGGCCATCCGTTACAGCTGCTTTGAATTTGCCAGCATCCGGATGGCAGTGTCAACACGCACATGTAGAAAAAGTCCCAGTAGCTCCCCAGACTTAGCTTACAGCCTGTGCTCCTCACAGTGCATCAGAACTCGTTTCGGGTTTCGCAAGGAGTTCTACTACTAGCAGAGAGCCGACGGAAAACTAGAGTCCGCAACTAGCTACAGGACCTGGGCTTGTTGACTGATTCTCATCTGAGTCCAGCTGGACCCCAGCACCTTCACAGCGCATACTGTTCAGCCCATGACAAATTCAATTGTTTTTTGTGAGCTTGTTAAGAATCAAAGTCATGAGTGCTTGTTTTCGGGTGCACCAGCAACAACATCGTGTTCAGTGCATTGGCTCAAGATGTGAGCGGCCATTGCTTACTCGACCACAAAACGAAGCCAAGTCCTGAAGCAGGAAAACCTAAACCCGAAACTCCCCAGACCCCCACCCCTAAACCCTAAACTCTAAACCCGAAAATCTGACTGCTGAGGCTGCTACCTTCACTATGGGCCTCCTGTCTCCGGAAAGGCCACTCTCCTACAATGTTGTAGCTTCAGGGTTGAGGCAATGACGGGGCTACGGCCATCTGTTCATCTGTCTGTGTACGGTACCTAGCTACTTAATCGATCTATGTATCCATCTATTTATCTATCTATCTATCGATCTATCTATCAGTCTATCCATCTGTCAACTTGTTCAATCTATCTATTTGTCTATCTGTCTATCTGTCTGTCTATCTATGCATCTATCTAGCTATATTTGTTGGTCTATGTATCTATCTAGCTATATTTGTTGGTCTATGTATCTATCTAGCTATATTTGTTGATCTATCTCTATCTACCTATAATCTATCTATCTGTCTCTCTGTCTATCTATCTATCTATCCATCCATCTATCTATCTATGTATCTATCTATCTTTCTTTCTATCTCTATCTACTATCTATCTATCTTTCCATAATCTATCTATCTATCTATCTATCTATCTATCTATCGATCTACCTATATGTATGTGTGTGTACATGTATACATACATGGCTTGGAAATTTTTCTGATGGATGTGATTGACTCTTGATCGTGCCATCAACATCAATCCAGATACTTGATTTTGGATCAGAGCCAATGTTGTGTTGCTGCTGCTGGTGTTGGTGGCCTTGACATGAACGATGATGCTGTTGATCGGCTTGCAGGTGACGATGTTGATGAAGAGGGTAGTGAGGTTTGCTGCTGCTCCAATGCTGGTCATGTTGATGGCAACGATGATGGCCATGATGTTCAGGGCCTTACATTTGGTCACTTGCTTGTTCTGTTCGTTCAGAGGTGTCAGTCCATCTTTCGGTCTGCGAGCATTGTAAAGACGCTGCAGACATCAGAAGCATGCCTCCATGTAAGCAATACACCGAGCGCCGTGAGCCGAGCCCACCCTGAGCGATCCGGCAAGGCAACTGGAGACGTTTCAGGCCGACATTGCCTACTACACCTTGATTCAGGCTGCCCGCGCCCTGTAAATAGGAAACACTGGGCGGAGAAGTTGTGAGTTCAGGGTGCCTCCTGAACGAGCACTACATTGCATATTGGATCCAGGATTCCTGGACTCTCAAGCCTCAGCTTTGAATTTGGTTTGGTGTTCATGGCACCCCGTGTGGGGTCTATAGTTTCATCGTGTTTACAAGCTTTCTACCCGTGTGTGGTGGCATAATTATAAGGATTCTGTAAAGATTTAGGTCAGTCAGGGTCTATGGTTTCAGAGTTGGTTGGGTTTTGGTGTTATTCAGTCAGAATTCAGGGGTTCCGGCGTGGGATTCCTGAAGCCATTCCAAATTCCATGACAGTCAAAGGCCAAGGTAAAACATAGCGGAAAGTGCAGGAACATGATGTAGCCTGTTACGAGCAACTACCCATAGGCCCCATAGTAGTTCCTTTTTGGGATTATCCAATAGGATCCTAAATCTAAGCCACAAAAAGGAACTACTAAGGGGCCTATGGGTAGGAACTTTCATCTTCCCCCCCGTTCGGTCCGCATCCTGCAAGAGCTGAGCGACGCGCTCTTCCCAATCAGTGCCGGAGCCTCGAGCCTCAGTCATGACTTCCTTATTGTGGGTAATGTAGGGGCCTTGATAATTCCGTACACTATTGTGGGGGTTCCCTATTATATACTTGTAGTAGAAGATACCGCAAAGCCCTTTTCTAATTATTAAGGCCCCTACCGTACTGCCCGAAAGGTAAGCCCGCGACAACGTTAGGCAGAGGAAGCGGTCCCCATCCTTTCTGTTTGCAATTTTGCTCAATTGTTTTTGTGGGGGGTACTGCAGTTCAGCCAAGACGCCGTGGATCCTCTCAAGCAACACAGCCCTGAAGTGCTAGCTAGGTCCTCAAAACCTGCATCCAGCATTCTGAAAAGCGTGCGTGCGGAACATTTTGCCTTAAACTTGGCACGATGAAGCTGAAAGCACCTTAACCTTGAACGGTTCAGCCACCTTGTAAAGATACCCAAAGATCCTGAGCTCCACCCAAAACCCAAAAAAAGCCTCCCGCAGGCCATTGGCCCTTACTGCTTATTCACCGTGGCGATGTCTCTGGTACGTCGCTTTGCCGACTCAGGGGTTTAATGTTGGGGCCTTAATAATTAGAATAGGGTGTTGGGGTTTAATATAGAAGCCTCAATAATTACCTATACTATTTTGGGCGTTCCTCATTATAAGTATAGTACAATATGCCTCAAAACCCTATTGTAATTGTTAAAGCCCCTATATTAGGGTCCAACGAGTGGGGCCTCGCGACTCCGGGGTTTTAGGGATTAGGGTTTGGGAATTTAGGGGTTTAGGGTTTAGGGGTTTAGGGTTTAGGGTTTAGGGATTAGGGTTTAGGGCTTGTCTTGCAGAGTCCCATGGATTGTTCAACTCTTCGTTAAGGCACTTGCAGGGTGCGTGCACGCGATGGGTAGATTAGCAAAAGACTACACTAGCGGGTCCAAGGATCATGTGTCGATCGAACGAGAAAGTGCTCAAACCCAGAAACACGAGGGCCACCCACCGAAGAACTTTGGCACCCGTGAAGTACCCCAAAAACTTCTTCTTCGAATGAAGTCCCGAGCTTCAGGCAACTTTCTGACCAGTGATGTCACCGACATGAGCATCCTTTATGGCGACACCAATGCCCTTACGGCGGGGGAGTCTTGGGATTTCCAAGGGCCGGAAAGTGGGTTTAGTGTTTGAAAGCCTGGGGTGGCACAATGAAGCTAGTCTCTTTCAAGGTCACTCGACATCGTCATGTTGGGTTTGAGTTTGACTGCTACTACCATTAGTATGTTTATGATTGCTATTATTCAATTCTGGATCAGAGCATGGGTCCCTTCGAAACTCCACATACTCTGTCGCAGGCTGCGTGACACCCCCAGGTTAAAATCAAAGCGCCAGCCTCAAGCCAGCGTAGCGCCCCCGCCTTCCGGATCACTTCTAGAACCCTTCTACAGCCCTATACCCTAAACCTTCTATGTATGTATGTTTGCATGCATGCATGTATTAAACGTTAACAAGGGCTATAAACGGCTGAACCCCCTAATCCTGGTGCTAAGCCCTAGCAGCGAAGCCATTATGCTTTGAACCACGACATGGATGAATAACAGTCTATACCTGTAATATTCCAGACCTCTGCGCAAGGCGCAAGAGGGTTTCGGGTTCAGGCCATGCGCGTTGAGCTTGCTACTTTAGCAGCCTGGGCAGCTAGAAGTGCGCCCCAAGAAGATTTGTGCATTTCAAAAACGCTGGCTACAGCTGGCTCTGCTGGGGACTTGAGGATAAGACCCAGGCCCGCTAAAGCCCTGTGTTGCTGACCTGGGTTGGGGGTTTAGGGTTGAGTTTGAGGGTTTGAGGCTTTAGGGATTTAGGATGATTTGGGGGTTTATGTTACGGAGCCCTATGGACCTCACTGGCCCCCAACCCTCCACCCCTTTCAGCTCGATGAAGCTTGGAGGGTCCTCGAGATTCATTACGGGTTTAGGGTTTAGGGTTTAGTTTAGGATTTAGTTTAGGGTTTACCTGCTTTTTTGAAGGGTCACACCGCTGCATTAGCAGCTTGTAGGGTTTGGGGTTGGCCAGGGCTTTCGAGTTTAAAAGTTTAGGGCCTTCAACCTGTGCCGAACACCCCCTGCAGCCACAGCAGACTCTGGGGTTTAGCTATGACGCTTTCTCAGCCCCAAATCCTCTCACTACGCCACTTTCGGGCAGGTCCTCGTGATTGCCTCTGTTTGGCTCTTTGGCTACCGTCCCTCTAAGCCAGCCAGGCTGCTGATTTGGATGTCCCTTGGTTAGGGTTTTGTGGGCATTTGTTGTTGTTTTTTCTTCATATGGGTAGTTCTCTATGGTCTCTTCTTGGGTCCCCTATATAGTACGGCACTCTTTGAAGAAGGACCCTAAAAGCGACCCTAATTTAGAAAACTACCCATGTGGTCTGTGAGGGATTAGAGTAGAGGGGTTCAGGGTTTCGGAGTTGTGGTTTTGTGATGTTCCTTGGGCTGTTTCCTTCATTTTACTAGTGTTCCGTAGTTATTTCTCATACCCCTAAGAGTCTAAACGTTCTGGCCGATTCAGGCCGTTGCATTAGGATGGTTGTAGTTGTTGTGGTTGTTGTTGCTGCTGCTGTCGCTGTCGCTGTCGCTGTCGCTGTCCCTGTCGCTGTCGCTGTCGCTGTCGCTGTCGCTGTCGCTGTCGCTGTCGCTGTCGCTGTCGCTGTCGCTGTCGCTGTGGTTGTTGTTGTTGTTGTTGTTGTTGTTGTTGTTGTTGTTGTTTGTTGTTGCTGTTGCTGTTGCTGTTGTTGTTGTCGTGGTTGTTGTTGTTGCTGTTGTTGCTGTTGTTGCTGTTGTTGTTGTTGTTGTTGCTGCTGCTTGTTCTTGCTATTGCTGTTGCTGTTGTTGTTGTCGTCGTTGTTGTTGTTGTTGCTGTTGTTGCTATTGTTGCTGTTGCTGTTGCTGTTGTTGCTGCTGTTGTTGTTACTGTGATTGCTGTTGCTGTTGCTGTGGCTGTTGTCGGTCGTTGGATGTGGCTGTTGTTTTTGTTGTTGTTGTTGCTTGTTGTTGGTTGGTGTTTGTTATTGTTAGTTCTTGCTGGTTGTTGTTGGCTGTTGTTGGTTGTTG